ATATATATATATATTCTAGTGTTCTTGGTGTTGAAATAATGGTGAAATTCAATGTTTGTTTTCAGCTAGCTTTCTGTTTTCTTGGTGCTTCTTTCCTACTCTGTTTAATAATATCCAAAGCATGGATTTGTTGGGATATGTTATTTATTTACTTGCACTAAGAACAATCAATTTGCAATTGTGTGGTTTTGACAGAGTTCCAACCAAACCAATCTTCATTTACCAATTGAATTTGAACGACTTAATCGCCTATTTTTCAGTTTTTAACTACTTAGTATCTTTTTCTTTTCTTTTTTTTTTCTCTCTTTGGTTGTACTATAGTCACCTAGATACATGTTTATTTTGATAATTTGACCATGGATATTTTGATTATCTACTAGCAGAGGAAGAAATCTCAAACATCTGAAAAGAATAGCCAACCCCATCTTTTGTTAACGAAAATGCGGCCTCTGGACGAAATAGAGACAACAGCAGTATTCGAGAAGATCTTTAAGTTCACGGGTAACAACCTCAAGAACATCGTTGAGAACCCCTCTCATGAAGGCCCGGATGCCAACGCTGGCCGCTACTGCTTCCGCCTTAACAAGACCAAGGTCTACTATGTGAGTGAGTCCCTCGTCAAGCGTGCCACCAACATAGCCCGCTCCAACCTCGTTTCTCTCGGCACCTGCATTGGCAAGTTCACCCACGCAGGCAATTTCCACCTCACTGTTCAGTGTCTCAGTCTATTGGCCTCCAATGCCAAACACAAGGTCTGGCTCAAACCCACCTCTGAGATGTCGTTTCTCTACGGGAACCATGTTCTCAAAGGTGGCTTGGGGAGGATTACGGAGAATATTGTCCCTGGCGATGGTGTCATTGTGTTCTCCATGTCTGACGTGCCTTTGGGTTTTGGAATCGCTGCGAAATCGACGCAGGATTGTAGGAAGATGGACCCGAACGGCATCGTGGTGCTGCACCAAGCAGATATTGGGGAGTATTTGAGGATGGAAGATGAGCTCTGAGCTTTAAATTAAGGTAAACTATTGTATTTTGTTCATGGGGCTTCAAGAGTTCTATTTGACAAGTGATGGTTCTGAAACTGGGTCACACATAACTTGATCAATAGAACATTGTGCAAGTTACATGAGAATTTTATTAGACTGGGAAGAAGTGATCTCTGTCTAGTGCTCCCAGTAGTGGGTTTTGTCCGAATTTAGCAATTTGATATGTAAGAATTTCAGCTAATGAAACAGGGTTTTATCCAAATTTATCAATTTTGATCTGTAAGAATTTCGGCTAATGAATACAAGTGAGTGAGCTTGCCTTTCACTCTCTTGTTCTAATCGTTGATTGCTTGATAATTTTTTTTTTCTTTAACTTTGATGATTTTCTTATTTTTCTTGCTTGATGGATGAACTATAAGGAAGGCTCTTCCTATTCAAAACAAGCTAGGAATATATATATATATATATCTTAGTTCTTACTGAGGACATTTTAGCTTACTAGAATACATCCATGAAGATCAGCTATTTTATATATATACATAAAGACAAGCTAGGACTTCTATTTTATTTTATTTATTTTTTATGGAGATCAGTATGGTTGATCTATTGTCTTCTCCATGAAGACCATTGAGTACTGGAGAAACTTAGGACATCCGCCCCCTAATTTGCTTAATTTTGTGCCGTTCTTAGAATTCCTCATTTCAAAAGCTTAATTAGTTGTTAGCAACTGGATCAACATTATTATTTTTTTGTTTGTATTTTTTTGTATTAATTTAAAGCATCAAAAATGAAAATTTCTTGGAAGCCAACCACATTAGAAACTCTAAAAAGTTACAAATGAAATTCGAAAATACGTCTTCTGTTGTTCAACATTGCTAGGATATTGAGCACCATACATGCATGCATACATACATACATACATACATACATACATTGTATAAATAAATATGAAATTGCCGTTGAGCCAAGCAGCAATCATAATCCGATCCTTTTCTGATTCTCTCCAAACCATATGAACACCAACATCATCCCAAATATTCTTCTCCTGTGAAGATTCTTCTTCCTTACCGCGATCCCGGGATTCCTCTTTCTGCATTCTGGCCCGAGCCAACCAACCGTTTCTTCTTCTTCTTCTTCTTCAGCAGTTGCACACTCTAGGTGAGTACCATGACTATCACATTCACAATACAAATGGGCTCAACACCCCTTAATGAAACTGCAGCCACAAATACCACAACACTCCCCTTCTTTCGACCAAAACACAAGCTTAAGCGGGTGCTCATGATCTGCCCGCCTTACAGATTCAGCCAAAGCGGAGCACGAGACATGTGGGTCAAATTGGCAAGCGGTGCAGCTATAGATGAAGGCAGTGCCGGAGCTAGCGCAAGTGTTGCAAGTGAAGGAATAGTGAGGGGTGAAAGAGTTGAGTGAGAGGGTCAGAAGCGTGCCGAATCTCTTGTGACAGCTTGGAACACAACTTGTTGTCACGCCCCGAAATAGGAGTTAGTGACGTGGAGACTCGTTTAGAAGTTAAACCTGATTAAGAGAGTAATTAAGTATTTGAAAATATGAAAATCAATTTCAAAAGTAAAGCATTAAAGAAGTTTCTAAATAAGCCCCACATTTTAAATGAAATTGGGTTATGAGAAAGTGATGGGGACTTTCACAAATCTCTGATAAAACAAGTTCAAAACCGAGCTTCTAGCATCATTCAGGATTTTTCCTACAGAATATTTCATGTTGTACATACATGAACATGTAAAGAAAACAGTTACAGACATCAACTACTGTCTAACAATATTTAGGGTTACAATTCATAGAATATACAATCCTTACATTCTAATGAGTCAGAAATGATTACAAAGTCCTCACTTTGTCATGACCGAGAAATTTATCGGAATTATTGTATAGGATAATATTTCTTAAAATCTTTCGTATCATTAATATAAATACTTTTATAATGAGTATTTGTTAATATAAGTATGGACTAGCAAGTTATAAGTTAAAAATCAGAAATTTCTGAACTACGATGCAGTTACCGATTTTTGAACTGTGTTTAAGAAAGAAGTATGGAATGTTGTGTTAAGCCCACAAGTGGGTAAACACATGAATGAAAAGTTTAAGAAATATAAAATAATTGAAAGACATCAATTCTAGGGTTTTAGAAACGATCGGAACGAAAAAAACAGACGAAAAAGTGGTTCGGAAGGCCGAACCGAGAAAATTGGGGTTTCGGCTGATTTGAGTTGACCAAGTCAAAATTTGTTGACAAAGAGTCGACCAAAATGTCGCCCTTGAAAAGTTAGTCAAGAATGGTCAAGGTTGACTTGTTGGAAAATAAAGGCCTTGAGTGCGCAGCGAAATTTAAAAAATTTAATTAACGTCAAAGCCAACCAAGAACATGTTCATGATGCTATATAACATAAATATTAAAGATCTAAATCATACATTTTGAGATTTAGGAAACTGCACGTCTAACAGATTAAAGCGTTCCAAACAGCAACCGGAAGAGTCTCAACCAACTGGTCTTCTTTGCTATTCTCGTTTCCACGATCGGAGTGCGGGTGGGCACACGTCGTTCAATCTTCTCCTGGTATTCTTGATCTCCGTCTAATCACAAGAGAGCCAAAGAAAAAATTGTTCTTGAGAATTAAATAATTTTTCCTCTCAGGAATTTTTTATCAACAGCCTCCAAAAAGTCTCTCAAGTAATCTACAGAGTAATGTGACTTAATAGACTATTTATAGTGTTTAGGATGTCATACTTCCGTAATAATTAGGTTTCTCAAAGTCTTAATCGCATCCAGAGTCGATTTTGCCACGTCAGGATGTATTTTACGTTACAACCGGTCGACCGGTGACATACACGTTATAACTCACCGGTCGACTTGTCTTCACTAACCGGTCGACCGGACCGGTCGACCGGTCTGCACTGATGAAAGTTGTTTTCGTAGTTTTTCAACACGGGAAACTTGCATAGAGCCTCAGTTTTGATTCAAGCAACCCAATAGAGAAATTGCCTGATCAAAACAGTCATATAATAGTCTTCCCATATTAAACAACTCTTGAAACAATAATTCAACCAATTTATCTACAATTAATTTATCAATTAATTCACCCGATAAATCACCCATAAATTAACTTTGAACCTCTTTTACGGAAATAACACAAGTTATCAATGTGTAGAAAATACGCCGTATCGTTACAGAAAATTATGTGAGCTAGCAAAGGGACCTGATAGACATATATAAATCAAGTTCCTATAATCACAACGCTACTTGTAAACTAACAAGTCCATCTCATGATTATAAAACTCTAGCGCTATTCCACTAAAAGCCTAGAGCTGCACTCTCAATTTATATAGCGTATTTACAAAGCTCTGATTAGCTCTAGTCTATGACTCAATATATTAGTGTATCATCCCCATAGGATATCCATAATCGACTTGAGGTCCAGTTCCGTTTTACCTTCCTGATTACATTTATCTTATGTTCCATTATCATACCATCAGAAAAATATTATTCGTACCATTACAAACAGTAAACTATTAGATAACACAGAGTAGTCTAATGGCCGATCGCTCGTATTTTCCAATCCACTGATAATGCATAAGAAGATATCATTGACTCTTTATAGGAGCTATGGATTCCACTATCTATGAATAACAAATCTACGCATACACGAGTCATACCCCCAATGTACTGGCAAGCGTACCTTTACATAATGTTAGGATGTCTCCCTTTAGTACATCAAAGGATACAAGTCAAGCATACGGGTTCATCATCCATCTCAGGATTAAGATGACAACATATAATTCGTCAAAAGTGAATTGTTTTATTCAAACAGAATTATTAATTAAAACAATTCAACTTTGGTCCAATCCAATATAGATTTCACCATTAGAAACTATATCAATGTCTCTACCCATGGAGTCCCACCTCCGACGACCAAGACAAGCCGTCTCCGTTAGGAAGTAGACAACATAACAATCTTAACATGAATAAAGCACCCAACTTTATTCCCTCGATTGTGGATCATAAGATTTAGACTATCATCTTTAGATTCTTGTCTTCCGCATGTTCTTCTTATTACATGCATGACCGAAAGATTTAGAATGACAGTCTCAGACTTTCAGTTTACTTATCATACATTCAACTATTATGAACATAAAGAGGACAATACATAGATATATGAAATAAACAAATCTTTATTAATAATCAAAATGTCTCAAAGAATATTGTTACATTTATTCCTAAGGGCATAAACGCTAACATGACTACGTTAACCAACTGTCTGAAAAACGCGGATAAAACGTGTACCGGATAGGAATTAAACTGAACCAAAATAGGATAATTATTTAATGATCAATGGTTGAGATTAAAAGTGAAAAATTGGATGAAGGGCTGAGATTGAGCCATGTGGCATCTAAAGGTGGCTGGCCAAGCTTGGAGGAGAAGAAAATGAAAGATATTTTTGGGATATTTTGTGGAATTTTACAAAAAGGTCATTGAAAAAGTCAAAATTGCATTTTTAGACTTTTACTTTATGTATGGTCGGTTCATTAAAGGTATATCACGTGAGAAATGTTCATTTTTTATGCTAAGAACAAAGGGAACTCAACCAAAGAGAAAGGAAGAGAAAAAAATTCATCCAAAGTGAGAAAAACGAGTTTTGATCGAAATTGACAAAACGACACTGCTAGTTCGCGTCACCGAAGCTTGTTCTTCATTTTCTAAGGTGAGAATTTGAATTTTTCTTGTTATTTTCCTACCATAGTTGCACGTGGAGTATAGGGGAGAAGATGAAAAAAAATATCACTTAAAAGGAATATTAGCTTGTGATGATTAAGGAAGTTTATAACTAGTGAATTAAGGATGAATTCTAGGTTATTAAGCTTTTGTTTCTAGTAATTCTTGGCATGGAGAATTTTTATGGAAATATGAGGAAACCCTAGAATTGTGATGTAATTGACAGAGAAAGTATGTGAATGGTGTTTGATGGTAGAAATAACGGATAAAACGAGCTAAGGTTAGCTTGGGAAACTTGGAAAAATAGGCGGAACTCTGCCGAAATTTAGTTTGAGACTTTGAGTTAAAACCGGTTTTCATGAGGAATAAGGAATTAAGATATGAAAAGTAGGTCGATTCGATAATCGGTGATGTATAGAAACCGAACACAATGAGAATTCACAGTTCTGGACCGAAACTGAATATTAGGCCCATGACTGAGGACAGTGCACGGTTTTAGTGCAAATTCTTGAGATAGAAAATATTTTGGGATTGAATACCAAACATAAGGAC